AGCTGATTTGACTGCGCGGATGCCATCGAATGCCTGAACGTCTCTTCAAGGCACGCCACCAAACATACTCTTTTCTGACGTCAAATTTTTCACCGTGAAGCAGGTTTTTTGATCGCCAAAACAATAGAGTCGTCACCTAAAGACCTCAGGAAGCCAACAGCAAGGGGACTTGCAGAAGGAAAGCTCATCCGGTTTTTGTGACAATTTGCGCGGCGATCGCTTCCGACAGCAAAATGCCGCTGATTTTTAGGGTCTCAGTGCTTAATATGGAGACTGCCACGCATGTGAACAGCACCGTGAAGAAGGAACTGTTGACCTGTACCAATACTAATTTGCCGAGAGCGATTGGTGCTCACAGCAGGATAGCGCACCTGCGCACAAAGTGAAGGTTGTTCAAGCATGGCTCCAAAGCAACGTTAAGGACTTCATTACTCCTTTGGAATGGCCTCCGTATTGGCCGGATTTGAATACCCTTGACTACCGCAAGTGGTAAATTCTTTAGGCCGAAGCCTGTGCTCACTCACGCAAGACTGTGGAGTCTCTGCGACGTGCTCTCCAGGATGCGTGGGAGGAAGTCGACGTGGAGCACCTACGTGCCACCGTGGACAGCGTTCTCAAGCGATGTCGAGCTTGTATTCGCGGCAAAAGAGGAATCTTCGAATTGTAAAGTTAGTTTTATATAGCAGACAGTTGAATATACATTATCTATTTATTTCATGTAATCATCTTGCCTAGCTTCATCATTACGATAAAAATACCGTGTTCAAAGACTTTCCCCCAACCCTGTACTTGAGTGACTTAGTATCTTGAAACTTCAGAATTTGCTCAAACATTGCCTATAGTGGTTAACTGACATGCTAATTATGGATATGTTGCCCGTTATGTTTGACAGAGCCTACAAGTAATGCTATCTTAGGTATATAGTTCAGGGGTTCTTATTGAGACAGCAATAAGAAGGGGGGGGGTCGTAACCAGCGATCGTGTGTCACACCTCTTGCTTGACTCTGCGTATGATTTTCTTCACATTCGCGATGTCAGAATATGCAGGTGCGCCTTAGCTTACCAAAGATTTACGTTATAGCTTTTGAAATGGAATTTTGCAAAACAGACAATATTTTTGCAAAAACTAATATAATAAATGCAACAAGTGCAAATTACGTTTTCCTCAATGTTTAGAGAACGAAGCGAGCGATTATCGTGGTAGCTATGCACAAAATCTTGTTGTGATGACTTTAGCAGCAGATCTTAAAAGTAGAGGACATTTTTGTGTGTAATTCTGGTTGTAAGAATCTATACTGCATATACTACGGGAGGAGTATAGAAAGGAATGGATAGAGTAGTAGAAAGAGCTATGTTGAAAACCATATGAAGGCGGTCATAATTTCTACAAACGTCGTCGTGTGAGATTAAAAGTGTCTTAACTTGATTCCATTGACTCACACAGATAGCTCTTGCCAGGTCTTGAGACCAGAGGACTTCGTCAATAAAGACTTTGGCTTGGAAGGATTCAAGGCATCCCCGCCGGCGAGATCAACAAGTTTGACATTATCGAATGACTCCAAAACTCTGATCACAAAAGGAGGCCAAACAGCTATATGAATTATATATACATTGCCCACTAGAAGTTTCTTTGAAAGTAAGTTAAAGACATGTGGCACAATACCGAAAAAAAATGTGGCCGCCGCACCTTTTTTGGGATTGGGCCACACCCCACTAACTCACCACATGCATCTAGGCTTTCTATATCATTAGAACCGCTAAACCTTCTTCTCTTCACAGTAAAAATTTTATCAGAGATTGTTACCGTAGAAGAAGTTGTAGTCGTTTTTCCAAGTCTATGTGCATGGCAAAAGTTGAGTTATGCCCATACGTTCGATAGCCTAGAGACAGGCGGTCAGAAGGGAAGGTTGTTTGAATATCTGCCCTCCATGAAAAGTGAAGGTTGCTTATTAAATATCAGAGAAGAAAAAAAGATGCACATAGCAATACAAAAAACAAATAAACAGATAAGAACAGAAAAACAGACTGAAAAAGCAAAAGAAACTCTCGAAAACCGGATAAAAACGCTGCAATGAGTTTGAAATCTCAGCGTCATTCGAAGTGCAGGTATTCGCTCCAGGACCAAGCAGTTCAAAACACAAGGAAAACAAAGAAAAGCTAATTTCTTCTTTGCAACTGTCTCAAAAATAATCAATTTCAGTGTTGATTACCAAAAGAAAATAAACAGAAAGGAATTATGTGAAGCAAACTTTCTTTTTTACTAAGTCGAAAAGAACGTCGAAACCAAATTTAATTTTCGATACGTCTTAGGGCGTTGTCTGGATTGTTCCGCTCATCACTCTGAGCAATAGTCGTCCAAGTTGGAAAGGAATCGCTGCGATAACACAGAGAGAACAATGTAAGTTAAACGCATTTTTTATGAGTTTTCACAGAAAATTCCGCCATATCGAAGAAGTAAGCGTTGGGTCGTTGTCAACATTATGAACAGAAGCAAGATCTAAGAATGCACGAAAAAATAGCGTGAAAAGAGTTAAACTAGAAAAACAGGAGATTTTCGAAAACACGGTTTTTTGCCGGATTTCTCGTTCAAATCAGAAAATATGGTTTCGGGACTCCTTGCGTTGCGCGCTACCTCGCTAGCCCAAACGCGGGGCACGAAGCATTTAGCTCTGGTATCCTTTTCTTCGTTATTCTAAACCGAATGGCAACAAATTGAGTATCATATGAAGCGCTTGATCTCTACTCTCACGCAGACAACGTCCCGAAACCACATTTTCACAACGTCCTGAGACAACACATCCGGCAAAAAACCGTGTTTTCAAAAATCTCTTGTTTTTCTTCTAGCTTAACTCTTTTCACGCTGTCTTTTCGTGCATTGTGTAGATCTTGCTTCTGTTCATAATGCTGACAACGACCCAGCGCTTACTTCTTCGATTATGGCGGAATTTTCTCTGAAAATTCATAGAAAGTCGTTTTTCTTTACATTGTCCTGTCTCAGTTTCGCAGCGATTCCTTTCCAGCTGGAACGACTATTGCTCAAAATGATGAGGGAATAATCCAGACAACGTCTCATGGTAGAAAAAATGGGGAAATGCGGGGTTAAAAATTCAAAGGACGCATCAAAAACTAATTTGGCTTTGACTTGCATCTCAACTTAGTATAAAAGAAGCTGTGTTTTTGAGTGACTCCTTTCTTGTTTATTTTCTTTTGATAATCACTACTGAAAAATGATTATTTTTGGAACAGTTGCAAAGAAAAAGTTAGCTTTTCTTCGTTTTTCTCGTGTTTTGAATTGCCTGATCCTGGAGCGAGAATCTGCAGTTCGAATGACGCCAAATGAAAGATTTCAAACTCATTGCAGCGTTTTGATTCGCTTTTCAGGAGTTTCCTTTGCTTTTGCAGTCTGCTTTTTGTTCTTATCTGTCTATCTGTTTATTTTTTGTATTGTTATGTGCATCTTTTTTCTTCTCCAAAGAACCTTCTCTTTTGACGCCCTGTCTCTAAGCTATCAAACGGACCGTAACCCAACATTTGTCTTGAACAAAGACTTGGAAAAACGAATACAACTTTATAAAAAGCCTAGATGCATGTATGCTCTAAAGGTTAGTCAGTGGGAGTTAACAATTTCAAAAAAGATGTGACAGCCACATTTCTTTTGGGATTGTGCCACAAGCATTTAACTTACTTTCAAAGAAACTCTAGTGGGCAATGTATGCGTAATTCAACTAAAATAGTCTGTAAATGTATTTGGGTCCAGTTCGTCTTCCTTCTGAATAACAAAGCACGAAAATTGGGAGCGAAAAATGAGACAAAGAGATTTTGGCATTCTCTTCCCATAGTTTGGTGTTAACAAAGTAAAATTCTTTATATGAGCAAAGGCGAATTAGTGCTTTGTATAGTGTGCAAACAAAGTCAGTCATGTTTGAAATAACCATTTCACTTGGATGGTCCAATATTTGGAAACCACAGAAATCGTTAATTTGGTCTACAGGGGTTGTTGACATACAATTGTAAATATATGTTATTATGCTCGGTGCGGTACGGTCTCTTATGCCTAACTAGGTAGACAATCATGCTAGTGGAGGGGGGGGGGGGTAGGAGGGGGCTGTTAAGACACTCAGTGTGAAAGGGGTCGCCTCCGGCGATCGTGTGCCACACCTTTTGCTCAGCCTGGTCATTAAGACCCATCCGTAAATGTATTGCTTTGTTTTTTTACACAAAAACACCAGGAATAAACTTGGGTTATCTTGGTCGCCAGACAATCCTACTCATCACTACACCAGACCAGTTATTGTAACTCTTTCGACTCCTACAGTCTGCCCCAAACCAGGCCAAAATTGGCATGGCGGGAGTCCGCGTCGCTAGGGTTTCGCGGTCACGCCCACGGCCTGCTTCTGTGCTCTCCCTGCAATCCTTTTGCTCTCTCCGACAGCGCGCGTATGCAGCGCAGACCTCTAGCGCTGCGAGCGCGCAAATTTACGCCGACGATTCGGCCTGATCCCAATTGGAGCAGACTGTATATCCAAGGCAATCCTTTCCTCCTTGAGGGAAAGCCTCCTCAACTCTTTTGAAAGAATCGTTCTGAAATGAATTTAAGATCAACGTTCCAGACGTATTTTATTCACATTTGAAGTCGAAAGGCCTAGGGCATCAAAAGTACTTTCTCTTTGTGTCTGTTAACTGAATAGCATCTATAACTCTTGGAGTCGCATGGTGCTTTTACTTTATATTTTATTTGGTGAACACTTCGACCAAACGTTTATTTGGGACATCTGAATGTAGTATTTGTCTCGTATTTCCGTTTTGGAACCGTCAAAGTAAATTTTTTTGCTCAGAAGTCCGCGCTTAAGGCGATAGAAGTGAAGAATGTTGCCCAGACTTCCGCAGCAAAAGAAATTTTTGCAGTTAAATCTACTAGATTCCTGGAATCTTGAAAAAACCTGTCGTTATTGCATAGTATGCATTTTGTAAATACAAGCAATGTAAGATGACAAACTGACCAACAGCATTTCTCCATGGGAACGTACTTTGAAAAAGCACGATCTGACAATCCAATCTATATATTTCGTTACCCTAAACACGATTCCTATATCGAAATTTCACAAGTTTCAATTTCACATTTTCTTGGAATGGAAAAGGTGATGCGCAGAACTGGCCGAGCTTTTGGAAATTCGAGATTAAACTGTTTACTTTATGGACCATCGTCTTTATCATATCACCCTCATAAAGCATTTGATACGTGTTCCTGAATGTCACTTTTTACAGAAAAGTATGTATCCATACTCAGAGATTATCACAAGTTGTTTGAGCAACTGTTTTCTTAGGAGCTCAAAGATGAACTGAAAGCTTATGATCCACAAAGCGACTATGGAAGATTGATTAGGTGACGAATAAGAGTACAAAGGCATCGTGCATCCAAAATGAAGGTAATGAGATTTTGATGTCATACGATGGAGGAGGCCCTAACTGCGACATCGCTCAAGTTTCGGTGCAAAAGATGAACTTCAAAGCGAGAAGAGGTAGAAGCTACGTTGGCTTCGTAACTTTTCAACGTCAGACCACCCACGTTGATGAGCTAACAGAGCCAACATGGGGGTTCTACTACCTTCTGAAACGTTTCCCTCGCTTCGGAATCTATTTTCTGCGGCGAGACTTGGCGGTGTTAGTTACGGCCCCTCCATTATATGACTCAAGAATCTCATCCCTCAATTCGGGTGGAGGGTACTTTTAAAGGCAGTGTTTCACTTAAAATAGGTTGCGCGGCTCTACATATTCTACCATAGGGCCCACGTAATTGACCATTGCAATGAGTCCGACATAGTTTGACTATTCGCTGAGAAAAATGCGTTCGAAGTGGTCCGCACCAAGCGGTTTGATACGCAAGGCCGAATTCTCCGGCTTCGTTCCTACGCGTTCTAACGGGTCCTTCCACCTGACGTTCACCTCCATTCTTTGCTGCCGCTGCGGCAGGACCTAGAGTGTGAAGCAACTAATCCGCGCTTTCTCAGGGCCTTCAAAAACGAGGTTTTCGAGCATGCAAAAAACGAGTTTATGCGATCTAACTCGCTATATTGTCAAATCCCGACAAACAAACTTGGTGATACACTGCCTTTACACACGTTTTTACCTTTCATAGATTGCCTTCCAGTTTGAAATGCAAAAACAAAGCATCCATTCATTTGAGAGTGGATTTTTTGCCACGCTCCAGAATAGACGGACTATCTCTTCTTGACGGTAATAACTTCCTGTGTCTAGAGCTTCAAGAAGCTTCCTGCAAGTGGATTAGTTTAGTTGAAGACTGAGAGTAGTGAGTGCCTTTGCAGAAACATGCACTGTTGAAAACTTTTCTATAATGGCGCGTATGTACGACGACAAGGTACCCTAACTTCACGAGTACAGGACGCACCTGTTTTTCTAAAGTCGACCAGCCTAACACACTAAAACATTTTGCCACCAGGGGGCCCTATACAGTATCGTGCCGCATAAGTTTCGTTTTCAGAAACCCAACAAGGTGACTGAGCGTTTGGCTCAAAAAATCGAAAAATGTGAGTTTTGTTTTCGTGAAATTATGGCAAAATAGTATCAGGGAAGTAGAAATGAATGATCGTAAGAAAATTTGATGCAGCTCAAGCCCAGTGCTGGCAAGGTGATACAGACAGCATAACAGCACATGATCACAGCATATGCAAAGGTCGGCATATCAGTTTTTTACTCAGATACTAAATGCTAGCTGTTTGTACAGAATGAACAAATTTAATGGTCATTTCTGATAAACGAGTGCACCATCATGAAAGATCCCAGCACAAAATCCGAACGTTTCGACGCTGCCAAAAGACGAATAATCAACGTACAAAACAATGAGTTGTAATCGGGCTGCTCGTTGGTCAGCTATTCATCAACTGCAAACTGGTAGGGTGGATCAAGAACAGGGCCCGACACGAGGGTGGCAAATGGGTACCTGAGAGACGATTTGCCTTTGCTGCCATCGAGTTCTATGATTTTCCGCTTGAGCGCGCCAGCCGCGTGAATCTGATTGGAGTATGGGCAGGCTCTTCACTTACATGAGCATTTTATAATCTTTCATACTTTGTTCTGACTCCCTATTGCGCATATACACACCAGTGGCCGTAATCAACGAACCCTGAGGGTCAAACTAACCCTGGAGGGTAAAACTTACGTAATTCATCAGGGTTAATTTAACCCTAGCTTAGAGCAAGGTTAACTCTACCCCGACACTTCATACAAACATTTACTCGCATCTAATAGTTTTATGAAAAACGATCAGCGAGTATTGTAGTATTCAGTATTAGACTGTTGTTATAGTATTTAGTCTCGACTTCGTTTTATGTTCAAATTTTGAGTACATAAAACACTGAGTTCGCGAGAAAAAGAATTCTAGCTTTGCTGACAAATGAATGCGACGAGGAAAAATGGTTGCGCATTCCACTCTGACAAGTGCCAAAACAGAAGAACCACTTTATGATAACACGCATTGACTCCTAAAAGAGTAGCATAAGCCCAGTATAAAACGAACTGCGCAAAAGTAGAACTTACACGGCACATTGGCACACATGAAAATAAACTCAAGCTGTAAGATTGGATGCTGCACAAACATGCTAGAGATTATTACAAAAACTAGTGTTAGAAGCTTATTCGTTGATTATACTACTATAACAGTGAAAGAATAGAAGTATAAAGGGAATTTAGCACGTACTTAGGCATTCTGTGATGTGAGTTTGCACAGCGACGCGTACTGACACCTTTATCCCCAGGGTTAGTTCAACCCTCAGGGTTCATTGGCCGTGTTCGTCGACCACAGGGTTCGTTGATGAATACGGCCACAGGTTCGTTGATCGATGCGGGTGGATTGCGTTCGGTGGCAAACCCTACCCTTTGGTTGATGAATACGGCCAACGAACCCTGAGGGTTGAACTAACGCTCGGGGTAAATTTAACCCCCAGGGTTCGTTGATGAATACGGCCACAGATTTAGAGCCAAATCGCTGCCTGCTTGCGAACGAGTCAACCTGCCACTTGCACTAATAAAAATTTCTTGCAAAAACTAACAACCTTCTATCATATGATTTTTCACATTACTTTGCGCTAAGCTCATCTTAGCCCTTGTCTATTTATACACCAAATTCGAAATCACTGCCTAGGTGTGCGCTGCAAACGAGGTAGATTACTGCTATTGGATAAGAAGTCGGGATCTTCGAATGTGACGCGCAGCAAGCTCTTGATTTTGCACGTCAGTCGTGTAGCAACTTGCAGATGGATACGTATGCAAATAGACGTATGATCACGCTATCCTTAGCTTTTTCCCAAAACAATTTTCAGCTTGGCATTGGCCCTCGTGCCGGGTCCTAGTCAAGGATATGACAACAAGGTGATTAAGTCTAGCAAATCCTGGTCACACACCATCAACTGTTGACAGGAGAACAGTGGCAGCGAGCTAAATAATTGCTATGGAAGTTTTCAAGACTGCCGTGTCGTGGAGCTCATTTTTTGAAGCATCGCAATAGCATGAGCAATGACTACCTAGTAATAACTAGATAGTTAATTTTGTGCCATCTGTTGTTAACTATCTAGTACTAACTAGTACTTGCTATTAGAGCCAACTGTCAAGTAGTGAGTGTTTTATTTATTTTATTTTATGTGCGCAGTCAATGTGCGTTAAAGCAGCTCGATAGGAAAATTTCATTGATTAAAAAACTCTTTTACATTTTTACTCCCCATGCTAAGTTGAACAGCTACAGCCACTGTAATCGCAACTGAGGAACAGCTTGAACAACAGAAGCCAGACTTTGACATAAAAAAATAAAACAGATAATTATCGTTGGTGAATAATATGCCCTAAAAGTTATTCAAACTCGGATATAGGGGCCTGCAGGATCGCGAGAGTCGGACGTGCGTACGGCCATTGCGCCGCGCACGTCCGATGTCACTAAGGCAGGTGCCAAACTTATCCGCTTCAGCCGGTTCGTTCGGTTCATAGGTCAAATCACTATACTATCCAACAGCAAAGGTGTGAACCGAATGAACCTGTTCAACAGGATAAGTCTGGCACCTACCTGAGTCGTCGGACACACATCTGACGTGCGCGGCGCAATGGCCGTCCGCACGTCCGACTCTCGCGATCCTGCAGGCCCCTATACCGACCATTTACATTTACCCTATTTCCCTATTTTCAGGTGTATAAGCCACACCCTTTCTGCTCTAAACGCTAGCAGACCCAGGCGTGCCGCCTCGCATATGTCTCGCGCGGTCGCCTTATCGCATACTGCTCTCACTTAACGCGCTCCATGATGACAGTCAGTCTTTTGGCGTGTTCGTTTAGAGCGAAAAGGGTGCGGCTTATACACCTGAAAATAGGATAAATAAAAATGAGCCGTCTTTGGCGACCTTGAACGCGGAGAGACTGTTAGTTTGGAACATGCAGAAAATATCGAAGGATAATTAGCGCTCTAGCAACTGTACAAACTTCTTTAATCCATTCCGTCAAATAAAGATACCTTTTCAGACGGGTAATATTTTGCAGACAGCCAAGCCCTGTTGCAAGTTTCTCCCTTTCGTCTGCATCATCTTCTAGATTTAGTAGATCGTCCAACTAAAATCATTATTCTCATTGTAAGACATATCTCGCTAAATGACTGCGTATCTTGACAGATAATCAATTACTTTAGAGGGACTAGTCATGGAAGTAGGGTGACTAATCCAAAAAGATTATAATTTTGATAGTGCAATTTATGCATGAATGTGGGATAGTCTCAAGCTTATATAATGTTGAAAAGGATTTTAGATTGCCAGCAGCAACATTAAAACAGTCTTGAAACTTAGATAGTTAGCGAGATGGATGGTTGTTCTTGTAGCATTTGATAAAACTTTCCATTTTGAAACGTGGTGTAAAAACATTATTGCTTTCTGTAACACCGATTGTAAAAGAGCGAATGACGTCAGAGCTTAGTTACACAACACCTGACTCAAACTCACCCGGACAGTGGCGCCGGCGAGCAACACCTTCAGCGTGCGAGCAGTCAGAATTTCACCACCCTCCCAGAATTTGTAAGGTACTATACAAATTTGACAACGGCTACGATTGCGATGGGTATGTGCTTTTTCTTTTGCTGTAAAACATAGATGACCAATTCATCAAAAAAACATAAGTAGCTACATATACGAACATAGTCAATTATCAGGTTAGTAAATTTTGCAACTTTTTTTACAACTTTCTTCTCCTTGTATGTGCCGCACTCAGCCGAAGGCTGTGTGTGTGTGTGTGTGTGTGTGTGTGTGTGTGTGTCACGAATATTCATAGAGGCAGCTGCAGCCAAGCCATCGAGCTACAATTTTGCATAGCATATACCGTACCAGCATGTACGCCCACCATGTACAAGGACGAGCCGGTTCGATAAGCGGGTCCTTCAAAAATTGCGCCTCAAACGGGCCCATCTGGCTTTTGGCACGCAAAACTAGGTCACAAATTCAACTTTTGCAGAGTCCTGATTTGCCTGACAAGCAAACCTGCGCTTTAAGAATTCTAGCTCAAAAAGTGCTCAAAAGTTTGCTTTTTCGCGAAAACAGCGCCAAAAAGTAGTGATCGCGTAGAGAGTCGATTTGGCAAGGTTTTACATAAACATAAATATCTGAAAAGATTTTTGCAGGATGTAGCCCAAAATCACTATTATCTTTATAACAATTATCAAGCCAGAATAAATTCAGTAATCTGTTCGAATTCGTATTTATTCCTTGGCAAAAAAGTTTTCTCAACATCACCGATCTTACATGGAGATGCTTTAAGAGTGAACAGTTGTTTACAATTCATTTATGATGTACAGCCTCGCGCGGTGAGTTTCAAAGTCATCATTAAGGCAAGAATAAGAATAAGGCAATGAATAAAATGAATAAATAAATAATGAATAAGGCATACGGATAACGGAGCCAGTGCGAACCTCCGCCAAGCGAAGGTGACGCACTGGTTACGTATATGTACCTAATTATGCCTGGAGAGACTTTATGTCATGCATACGGAAGGCAAACGATGATGTTGGTGGGGGAGGGGAGGGTATGGAGACAAAAGATAGGGGGGAAATCGTATTTGGCGCTTGTGTGCCACATCTCTTGCTCGACCCTAGACCCAACGCACGACTACGATCGACTTTTGGAAGGATTGCGAGCCTGTGGAGAGAGTGTGCCTTAGTGCTGAGAAGGACTTGGAACGTATTTCGAAAACCACCAAGGAATTGCTCAAAAGAAGAAGATTTCTGAGGCACAATCCGAATACAACCCATCTCGAGCGACTGATAGCCAACGCCAGCTGCAGAACAGCTTTGCAGGAGGATCTCAGGAAGTACAGGCAACTTAAGATACTGGAAGCAGCCGAAGAAAGACGAAGTCTTAAGAAGTGCCGAAGGGACTTCCGTAAATACACGTACCGCTGACCTCATTATTGAGCAAAGACGGGACCCCGACTTCTTACTGATATAATATGGAATTTATTGCAAAGAACAAGGAACTTCAACATCGACCTCTTCCGCTCATCAATACCCGTGCCTATGTCCGCTGTGCCCACTGGAGAAGTACCACCACGAATTCTACCTGCTGGAGTGCACCCCGCGATTAAGACCACGAACACGTCCACAGCTCCAGGATCAGACCATCTTTCCGTATTTCGCGAGCCAGAGGACAACGTCTACACAGATTTTCGCGTCGCACCTGACATCTTACTTTCAGAAGAAGAGGATTCCCGACCAGTGGAAAATGTCAGAACCGTCCTTCTCGTCAGGAAGGGTGAACGAAAGGATCTGCGGAAATATCTTATGTATAAAGCTGAATGTCCGATTGTCTATCTGTATCAGTGGCGTAGAGAATATTCGTTCACGACAGCCCCGTTTCGTGCATTTACACCACCGCGGGCGTGCCTTCTTGAAGCCTTTCCAGCTTTACAGTACGCTACCGCGCGCAGGGAATTCGCAACTCGCAGCGCCCCTGTCCTTTAAGCTCTTTTGCATTTCTCATCTTTTTTTTCTTTTTTAATCTTTAATTCAGGCAGTTACTCGGCAGTCAGTCGTTCCCTTCTTCTTTGAATTTCTCTAGGTCGAATACCCTACAAATTCTGCTTTGATGGGTACTGAAAAAGCAGGAAAAAAGTTTTCGCACAGTTTTTGTTCGTTCTCCTTTTTACATACCATACAAACTTTTTCAGAATCGTAAACTATCATTCGCATACTTAAGTGGAAGGGTGTGCTTTCTTCATGAGGGGTGAGTAGTAATGGCTATCGTGCCTTCTCCTCAAATGAGAGCAGTTAAATGTTTATTTTAGCACACCTACTGTGTCCTTGATGTAGGAGTGCTGAAACACCCACTTCAGCCGTCTTTCTCAAGAAAAAAAGGCGAATCATTATGAAACACTGAAGAAAACATTGCACTCTCAATTATAGCCACGATTCCGCCATTGCAACTTTGAAGAAAACTTATTATTCCTTCCGATTCTTTCCGGAGCAATGGTCTTGCGTGTATGAGAATGTGTAACTGCCTAAAATGAAAATTAAGGAAAAAAACGATGTGAAATGCTCAAACAGCAAAAAGAGGTTAAAGGACGGGCGTGCTGTGAGTTGCGAGCACTCCGCGAGCTGCAGCGTACTGTAAAGCTGGAAAGGCTTCAAACAGGCACGCCCGCAGTGGTGTAAATGCACGAAACGGGGCTGTCGTCAACGAATATCCTTTACCCAGGATTTCGGCTCGAGGGGGGGGGGGGGTGGCAAAAATTTTTTTCAAATGAAGGTGCGTGGCGTCAGCCGCGCACTCCGAAAAAATTTTAGGGGGGCCTCTCAAAATGTTTGCGGGCCCCCAACCCCTAAAATCTGAAAAAAGGGGGCGTGGCTGACGCCACGCCCCCGAAAAATTTTTTTTAAAAGGCTAATTTGAATTTTTAAAAAATTTTGAAAATTATTTTAATTGTTTACAAAAATAAACAAGTCACTTGCACATTTTTAACTCATGCAAGTAACTTTCAAAAATTTCGCGACCCGTTCTCGGGGGGGGGGGGGGGCGTGTCGTAGGCTACTTTACGTTATAAATTGATATCGATTTTATCGATTTTTGTCGATTTTTTGTAAAGTTCGATTAACGGGGCTGGGAGTTGGCACAGGGGGTAATCGAGCATGCTGATTACGAACACAATATTGGTAATTTAACTTATATATTATCGATTTTGTCGATTTTTTGCAAAGTTTGAGCTACGGGGCTGGGAATTAGCACAGGGGGGTAATCGGGCATGCTGATTACTAAAACAGCGGGAATAGTGAATTGGCATGTAAGCGTGGGCACAGGGAAGGTTGTACTGAGATAGGGATGAGAGCTGTCTCATAGTGTTTTGACAGGGCCTAACGGAGCCGGGTTAGCCAGCTAGTCGTCCAATTAGCCTGCTGAGTGTGCTGTACAGGCTTTTTACGAAGATTATCCTCGCTCGCATATCTAAAACACTGGATGAAGCCCAACCCCAAGAACAAGCTGGATCTCGCCGATCAGCTGCATGGACCACATCCAGACGGTTTTGAGGGTCATAGAAGTCTGCCGGGAATACCGACCTCTCGTCCTTTTTTTAATCTTTGCACTTCTCCCTTCATTTGAGGTATGCCGCTCTTGTACGCCTTCTCCATTCTTCTCTGGCTAGGGCTTGGCCTTCTCTCAGCTGAAGTTCCTTCGTCTCTTCTTTGACTGTTTCCATCCATCGTATCTTAGGCCTTCTTCATGGTCTCTTTTCTAGCGCTTCTACTCATAGCCAGCCTCGTTGTGTGGTCTTCTTCCCTTCGCCTTACGTGCCCGCACCATCGGAAACATTTCTCTTGCATCTTCTTAGAGATTGTCGCAACTTTCATCGTGCTTCGTACACTATCATTTGTGATGTGATCTAGCATAATAAGTCTTCGAGTCCACCTAAGCATTCGCGTCTCCAATACTCCAATCTTTCTCTCCTCATTTCGTGTGCGGTATATCAGGGACTTCAGATTACGTGGTATCCGTTTGTCAATAGAACGCCTGTCATGCTTCTCCACTCCATCCAGCCCTGCTAGTTATTTCATCTTAAAGACTGCCATTTGCGGAGATACGGCTCCCAGATACTTGAAGGAATTGGTACTCTTGAGTAGCATGCTTCCGATCTGGATGGTCTTAGGTGTCTGAGCTGCCAGCTCCATATACTCCATCTTTGCAGTGTTCAGTTTTAATCCGTGTAGCTCCAACTGTTCTTTTCACTTTTCACGTCCTTCTGAAGTTTTTCTCTGCTTCTTGATAGCAGAACCACATCATCTGCATATAGGAGTGCCCAGAGTGGCTGCCGTGTGAAATCCTTCTCTACTTCATCCAGCCCTGCTAGTTATTTCATCTTAAAGACTGCTATTTGCGGAAATACGGCTCCCAAATACTTGAAGGAATTGATACTCTTGAGTAGCGTGCTTCCGATCTGGATGGTCTCAGGATTATTGCATCCATGACAGTGATAGACAGGATTGGTGAGAGTACGGAGCCCTCATGTACGCCGGTGCTTATCTGGAACTCCTGCGATGGTCCTGCTGCTGTTTGTACATGACTAATGGCACCCTAGTAGAT